AATAAGATCAATAAACCACTGGCCAGACTTATCCAAAAGAAAAGAGAAAGGACCCAAATTAATAAAATTATTAATGAAAGGGGAGAGATCACGACAAACACCAAGGAAATAGAAACAATTATTAGAAATTATTATCAACAACTATATGCCAATAAACTGAGCAATCTGGATGAAATGAAGCCTTCCTGGAAACCTATAAGCTGCCAAGACTGAAACAGGAAGAAACCGACAACGTGAATAGGCCAATAACCAGTAACGAGATTGAAGTAGTGATCAAAAACCTCCCAAAAAACAAGAGTCCAGGGCCTGATGGATTCCCTGGGGAATTCTACCAAACATTCAAAGAAGAAATAATACCTATTCTCCTGAAGCTGTTTCAAAAAATAGAAACAGAAGGAAAGCTTCCAGACTCATTCTATGAGGCCAGCATTACCTTAATCTCCAAACCAGGCAAAGACCCCATCAAAAAGGAGAATTTCAGACTGATATCCCTAATGAATATGGATTCCAAAATCCTCAACAAAATCCTAGCTAATACGATCCAACAATACATTAAAAGGATCATCCACCACGACCAAGTGGGATTTATCCCCGGGATGCAAGGGTGGTTCAATATTCGCAAATCAATCAACGTGATAGAACACATTAATAAGAGGGAGAAGAACCATATGGTCCTCTCAATCGATGCAGAAAAAGCATTTGACAAAATACAACATCCTTTCCTGATTAAAACTCTTCAGAGTATAGGGATAGAGGGAACATTCCTCAAGTTCATAAAATCCATCTATGAAAAACCCACAGCGAATATCATCCTCAATGGGGAAAAGCTGAGAGCCTTTCCCTTAAGATCAAGAACACGTCAAGGATGCCCACTCTTGCCACTATTCAACATAGTACTAGAAGTCCTAGCAACAGCAATCAGACAACAAAAAGAAATAAAAGGTATTCAAATTGGCAAAGAAGAAATCAAACTCTCTCTTTTCACAGATGACATGATACTTTATGTGGAAAACCCAAAAGACTCCACCCCCAAATTAGTAGAACTCATACAGCAATTCAGTAATGTGGCAGGATACAAAATCAATGCATAGAAATCAGGTGCTTTCTTATACACTAACAACGCAACTGTAGAAAGAGAAATTACAGAAACGATTCCATTTGCAATAGCACCAAAAACCATAAGATACCTCGGAATAAACCTAACCAAAGAGGTAAAGGATCTATACTCTAGGAACAACAGAACATTCATGAAAGAAATTGAAGACACAAAGAGATGGAAAAATATTCCATGCTCATGGATCGGAAGAATAGACATTGTTAAAATGTCTATGCTACCCAGAGCAATCTATACCTTCAATGCCATCCCGATCAAAATTCCAATGACATTTTTCAAAGTGCTGGAACAAACAATCCTAAAATTTGTATGGAATCAGAAAAGACCCCGAATCGCCAAGGAAATGTTGAAAAAGAAAAACAAAGCTGGGGGCATCACGTTGCCTGATTTCAAGCTGTATTACAAAACTGGGATCAAGCCCCGTATCGGGCTCCCTGCTCAGCGGGAAGCCTGCTTCTCCCTCTCCCACTCACCCTGCTTGTGTTCCCTCTCTCGCTGTGCCTCTGTCAATTAAATAAACAAAATCTTTAAAAAAAAAAAACAAAACTGTGATCACCAAGACAGCATGGTACTGGCACAAAAACAGACATATAAACCAATGGAACAGAAGAGAACCCAGATATGGACCCTCAACTCTATGGTCAAATCATCTTTGACAAAGCAGGAAAAAACATGCAATGGAAAAGACAGTCTCTTCAATAAATAGTGCTGGGAAAATTGGACAGCCACATGCAGAAGAATGAAATTCGACCATTCTCTAACACCATTCACAAAGACAAACTCAAAGTGTATGAAAGACCTCAATGTGAGACAGGAATCCATCAAAATCCTAGAGGAGAACATAGGTAGTAACCTCTTTGACATCTCCCACAGCAACTTCTTTCAAGATACATCTACAAAAGCTAGTGAAACAAAAGCAAAAATGAACTTTTGGGACTTCCTCAAGATAAAAAGCTTCTGCACAGCAAAGGAAGCAGTCAACAAAACAAAGAGGCAACCCAGAGAATGGGAGAAGATATTTGCAAGTGACACTACAGATAAAGGGCTGGTATCTAAGATCTATAAAGAACTCAAACTCAACACCGAAAAAACAAATAATCAAGTCAAAAAGTGGGCAGAAGATATGAAAAGACACTTCTCTGAAGAAGACAAACAAATGGCTAACAGACACATGAAAAAATGTTCATCATCATTAGCCATCAGGGAAATTCAAATCAAAACCACACTGAGATACCACCTTACACAAGTAAGAATGGAAAAAATGGACAGGGAAAGAAACAACAAATGTTGGAGAGGTTGTGGAGAAAGGGGAACCCTCTTACACTGCTGGTGGGAATGCAAGTTGGTACAGCCACTTTGGAAACAGGGTGGAGGTTCCTCAAAAATGTAAAAATAGAGTTAATCTATGACCCAGCATTTGCACTCCTGGGTATTTACCCTAAAGACACAGATGTAGTGAAAAGAAGGGCCATATGCACCCCAATGTTCATAGCAGCAATGTCCGCAACAGCCAAACTGTGGAAGAGCCGAGATGCCCTTCAACAGACGAATGGATAAAGAAGATGTGGCCCATATATACAATGGAATATGACTCAGCCATCAGAAAGGATGAATACCCAACTTTTACATCCACATGGATGGGACTGGAGGGGATTATGCTAAGTGAAATAAGTCAAGCAGAGAAAGTCAATTATCATATGGTTTCACTTATTTGTGGAACATAAGGAATAGCATGGAGGACATTAGGAGAAGGAAGGGAAAAATGAGGGGGGGGAATTGGCGGGAGAGATGAACCATGAGAGACTATGGACTCTGAGAAACAAACAGGGTTCTAGAGGGGAGGGGGGAGGGGGGATTGGTTACGCCGGTGACGGGTATTAAGGAGGGCACGTACTGCATGGAGCACTGGGTGTTATATGAAAACAATGGATCGTGGATCACCACATCAAAAACTAATGATGTTTGTATGGTGACTAACATAATAAAATTTTTTTAAAAAAAAGCAATCACAACATGAAACTATTTGAGTTCTAATGTCGGCAATGACCTGTCACTTAGTTTTAATGTTATTAGGTATGATGCTGTTGGTGTGCTGAAGAGAAAGGATTTTTAGGACTTAAATGTCCACGAGAATTAAACTAAGAAAGAAATCATTACTTCAGTAAAGATTGGTATGTTAGAGATAGAAAAAAATTCAAAAGGTTTAGAAAGCTAAAAGTATGTGAAAAGATGAAATGCAGCAAAAAAAAAAGCAGTTCATCATTTTATAGAGTATTTCGCTATTTAGTCTCTTGGGTTTATCAGAACCACCTCCAAAATTTAGTTCTACTATAATTTCTTTTTTAAAATTTATTTATTTAAGAGAGAGAGAGAGAGAGAGTACAGGGCATGGGCAGGGGAGGAGGAGAAGGAGGAGAGAGAGAACATCAAGCAGACTCCCCGCTGAGTGCGGAGTCCCACGCAGGGCTCGAGCCACAACCCTGCGATCATGCCCTGAGCTGAAATCAAGAGGCAAATGCTTAACCAACTGAGCCACCCAGGTACGCCCTACTTCTACTATAATTTCTTAATGCCCCTTCCCACCCCCCCACCCAACTTTGTAAGCAAAATCTCATGACTGATCACGTTAAACAAATGACGACCTAATCCTTTATTTCACTATCCCATTTCCGTCTGATGAAAAGCAACTATAATAAAAAATAAAACAGTCATTCTCACCAGGTAAGGTACTTTCAAGGAGAGTCCGATAAAAAATTACTTTACAAAAGTACTCAATTCAAGGGCAGGCTTTAGGAAGTTGTGTTATTTCTTTGCTTTTAATAGCAATAAGGTATATAAATTCTGAAATCCATCATGTGATCTGTGTGTGTATAACTACTATGCCCACTAATTAATGATGAAATTTTCCCTGAGTCCACAGCTTTAGATTCCATATCCATTTTTTTATTATAAAGCCTGACAACTGATACACCTCTTTTCATAATAACTAGGTAAAGAAGAAGATCTCCTAAAAGTCTGAAGTAATAGTTATGCTAGGTCTTTACAAGTCAGGATAATTCCTAAAAAATTAAAAGATGTGGCAGAAAGATGCTCTTCACTACCGAAACAAAAGTTTAGGTACCTCTCTGAAGCTTAAAAAAAAAAAATCATCTCTAATAAAAAAAAATTTTTTTTTCTGCAATACTTACCTGTAGTTTAGACTGAAGAGCCAGGTAAAGACGAAGAATTTCTATGCTGCTACGTATTCGAACAGACGCTCTCTCTGGCTCAAAGTTTGGGTTGATTAAATCATTGAAGGGTTCATTTGTAACATCGTTTCCCAGCAAAGAATAGTAAAAGAAAAACTCAGGCTGTCTTTCTGGAAGTTTCATAGTACATGGAATTAACTAAACATTTAAGGAAAAAGAAAAGAGTATTAATGTGTAAGCCACTATACATACTTATGCATGTCTGACGAATTGCAAGATATTTGCTAAAATGCTGATTTTTTTATTTCTAAGTCTTAAAATTATTCACTCAAAATTTCTAAATCTCTGAAAAATTACAACCAAATGACTGGTTTAATTTTTCAAGGTTTACCTCAGAAAAGCCCAGAGACTACCATTATTTTTAGAGATTTCTGTTGTTTTCAAGTTTACTTTTCATTCGACTGATCCATGAACAAGTACATTAAAGTTCTTTTAGAAGAAACTGGTCAAGTATTTTAAACTGAGCTTTATTTCCATATACCTTATTTCATCTTATTCTTACCCTGCCATCCTCTTCATAAGAGTGTTTTAAACAACTGTAATCCAAGCTATTCAATATAACACCTTAGTCTAGGCCTTTGAGAAAAAGGCTTTCTAGCCACTCTGTCAAAACCAGGAAACCTATAAATGAACAGCTGCAAAAGGATATTTCCTTTAATAGGAGTGTTATTTTTCAAAGCTCATAGTTTCATGGCCACATATGGCAAAGACACAGATTCTTGGCCCATAAAATATCTAATAGACTCTAAGTGTTCACTAGCACGTTGTTAAACAGTTGTTGTATTCATCAATATGAGATGGTCTAAGTATATTCTAGTTATCATACAAGAGGGCTGCTCAATAACGACATCCTGACAGGACCGTTATCTGAGACACAGTGTCAGGCCAAGCAGAGTTACAGTCCAGTTTGTGGAGTTCGGGGAAATAAAAGAATTAAGCACTTAGAATAAAACAGCCCCCTGTTCAGTATACAGTAAATACCCAACAGTCATTTATTTTGTGTAAAGACAGTGTTTCATATAAAGTATATCTTTATATGTGAAGTAAATGTTTACTCTAACCCCATACATTAAGCTATGTTTCAGTAGGTCTCAATCAAGTAATTTATCTAGAGAGAGCCAGCACTTATACACCTACAGTTGTTAAGAGCAGATTCTGGAGTAAGCCCCAATCCTGGTTCCATCAACGGCTTACTGGGAAACTTTGGACAAATTACTATATCGCTCTGTACCTCCATTTCTTTTAGGGTTCTTGGAAAGATGGAAAGAGAATACATGTTCAATTGTACAACTCCACCACCCAGCACGGTCAGCTGTTACATGAATGGGAAAATTTCTGCCTGAGGCAAAAGTATAGTATCCTTACCAGGGATTATTTCTGAGTTTAATTAGATAAGACCTTTTTCCTTTGGTTTCTTCCATAATCAGAAAGCAATAAAAATTTTAAGAATTAAGGTGGCCCTGAAATATTTCATAGTATATTTAATTTTAATTCCCACCAAGAAAAGATTCTTTTCAAAATCATTTAACATCTTTGTATTTGGAAGGTATTTTTTTTTTTAACCCTCAACATTCAATATTTAAGAAAAGGAGCAATGCAAGATTATCACCATCCAGTCTTCCTTCTCCTAACTCATTCCTCCATTCTACATGATAGCATTATGTCCTAAGTCACTGATGTGCATCTGAAAAGGTATTTTTTTCTTAGCTTTATTTGTTGCCTGATGCTTTCTCACATTACCTTTCACTAGCCTGAGGAAAAAACTAAATGGCTAATTTACAAAACCCTTGGCTTGTCTATAAATAATGAAAAAAGCAAACAAATATTAAACAATATCAAAAGATGAACAGACTATTGGCTCAATTTTTTGTGTTTTTTAGTTACTGTAAAATACACCTAACAGAAAATGTTCCATTTTAACCATTAAAAAGTGTGTGTGCCTCAGTAACACTGAATACATTCACAAGGCCGTGCATGCACTGGTCACCACATCTGGCTCCAGAACACTCTCATCATGCCCAGAACTAACACCGCAACCATGAAGCAGCCTCCATTCCCCACTTCCTCCAGCCCCAGGAAACCACAAATCTGCTCTGGCTCTCTATGGATTCACCTATGCTAGTGTATTTCATATAAATGCAATCACACATCATGTGGCCTTGTGTGTCTGGCTTCTTTCACTTGGCATGCGTTCAACGTCTGCCCACACTACACACCTGTCAGTACCCCATTCCGTTACAGTCGCGTAATATTCCATTGTACGGCTATGCGTTTGGTTTATCCATTCAGCCACTGATGGACAGCTGGGTTGTTTCCACCGTTTGGAGACTGAATACTGCTATGTACATTCCTGTACACGTTTTTACTTGAACACCTGTTTTCAGTTCTTTTGATTCACACCTAGCATTGACATTGCTGGGTTCCATGGTAATTCCGTTTACTCTTTAGAGAGACCTATTTGGCTTCCTTTATAGCAGAGAGAGCCAACAGCCAGTTATCAATCTGGTTTTTGAGTTTTTAAAAACTAAACTGAGTGACTGGTCCCAGTAAGTCACCTCGTATTACCAAGAACTGTTTTAGTTTTAGTTGTGAATTCAATAGGTCAATTACTCCCAACAAGCTTTTAATGTACAAAGGTAGCTTCACACATACAAACTATATGGTAGACATTTTGGTTCTATTATCTCATCTCTCATCCTTATATGGAAAGGTGGTATTATCACCACTCTACTACTGAGAAAACTCAAGCCTCAGAAAGGTTATGCTGCCTAAGTGGAACAGGAGCCAGCTAGTAAGCAGTGAGTAAGTAGTGAGAAAGTGAGCCCCACGCACATCCATCCTACTTCAAAACCGCGTAACAGGGAAGAGAGCATAAAACTGGAACAAGAGAGTAAGGGAAGTGACTCTATGTCCAGAAATACACAGGCCATTTACTTAGCTATAAAACCTTCCTAAGAAATGGTTCCCTGATCTTGAAAATGAAAGTAATAATCCCCTAAAGTAGTGAGAGGACTAAACACATTAGTTAGCATAATGCCTATTTCACAGAACAGGACACACAGTAAATGATGAGGAACAATTATGCCTCCCTAGAGAGTTGAAAAAAATTACAAATAAAGTGGTAATGTAAAATGCCTTGCATCGACTGAATAACACAGTAAAAATATAGTAGCCTCATTATCTAACAAGTACCCTGATGTGGTTAATGGCGACAGTGGACATCTGACCTTCCCCCAGCCATATGGGGGAATGGCATACTAGGGTGGGGCAATCCATAAGCAGGGCTTTCTGAAGAAAAAGAGAAACTGATGGAGAAAGGCAAAAGCATGAATTTGGTATGACAAAATTATAAATATTTCCTGAGAAAAATCATTAGCTGATACTCTTCCAAGTCACTCGGAAGGACCTCTACATGGTCACTAACAGGTATTTCACTTATAAATGTGGACTGTTTGGGAGCTTTGTGTAGCTCTAAGAAAGGTAATAGTAAGATAAAATTTAAGTCATAAGCCATATTCTCTATTTTTGAAATTATTAATTTATTTCAGCTGCTACAGACCACTATGTCGAGAAAACTGGGCTTGATCCTGAGAAAGATGTAGTAAGAGCTCATTTTGTGATGAGCCATTTTTGTGATGACGCAACGCTGGCATGGGCCCTAAGCGTCCTTGCACTTCCTGCTGAGGGCACCGAGATCGCAAGGCCCAGACCACTCTCCCCCAGGCTACTTCCCAGGGTTGCTTGTGCAGCTGGTAACCTCGAGGGATTAAGTGTCTTCCTGGAGAGAGACCAGGACTGTTTACAATGCAAGTGGTCTAGTCCCCCAGTTCTGTGCTCCTCAGCTGCGATACAAACCTACTCCGTGTGGGGCGGCCACTGGCCCCTGTGTGTCACCCCTGGGACATGGGGTAAGGGAGGCGGCAGGCGGTATGCAGATGTGGATGCTGTGTGCGTTGTGCTGAGAGTACTACAGTCCTTTGTCTCTGACCCAAGAACCTTCTGTCTCCTGGCACCATCCAAGAAGCGGTAACTGGCAAATGTGTTAGTTTATAAATAAGGTAAAATCTAATCTCAGATGATACCTACTGAAGTATGACTGACACCAAGTGTTCCCAATATTGGACAATTCTCCAAAAAGTCACTTTTTCAATACTTAAAAAAAATCCTTTCAGACCAGTCCTTACAATGCCACACAGTGGCAAACAGTGTTTATGGACAGTCTTTCTTCTAAATCCTAGGAGATTTTAATTTTTATTCCTCTTACTACTAAAATCATACCAATTTATACTATTTTTTCTTAAAGCAGAAATACTTCCTGCAGTGAAAACATTTTTCTACATTTTTTTAAAGTAAAAAAAAGTCCACCTGCAAATCTTTTTAATACCTAAAAGGCAAATTTTAATATAAAAAAAATCAGTGTTCGCAGTTCTTTGTGAATCACTAATCAGAGGGAAAGTCTCACCTGCTCCAGCTGGGTGGCAAACGCTATGGTCACTGACATGATGAAGGAGTCAGTGCAATACTCTGCTGGTCCGATCTGATGGTAGCCTCCTTCCTCATTCAGCACTGCCACAATGTCCTTGGGGTCAAGTCCAGATAGGCTGGCAGCTACTTTATGGGGAAAACCACAATTAAACTACATTATAGTTTGCCATAAACCACTGTAGCTGGTTATGCTTTGTATTTTGCTTGGCAGTTTTCATGGATATAGTTAGTACCTCAGTAAGGTTTTTTTTTTTTTTTTTTTTAACACACTCTCCCAAGAAACCTGATTTAACCACCATTTTCTTTCTATTTTGAACTACAGTAACATTTTAAAATTGAATAAACCGCAGAGAAGAGGCATCATAGGTTTCCCGAAGGAAGTGAATTTAAACTGGGAACTGAAACATCAGCCCAATGTGGCTAAGAAGAGAAAGGTGAATGAACAGAGAATAAGGGAGTAGAAAACAGTGTTCCGGAAGGAACTGTACTACAAAGCCTGGGAAGAGAAAGTACGTGGTGGGAGAGGTGAGGGGGGGCGTGGTGTGCTGGATCGGGTGAGAACTGACGCGCAGGAAGACATGGGGCAGAGGCTCGATCATACAGCCTTGCTGCATGCCACGATCAAATGCCGGGACAGTTTTCCAAGATTAAGAGGAAAGCATGAAACAATTTAGAGAAGAGAAGTGATATAACGCACACCTCAGATACATGCATCCCCCATCAATAAGCAATCCTCTCCAGATTCCTATTTTGCAGCCTGAGAAATGGTATCTTTGGCTTGAAAAGGAGTTTAAAACCAAGTGTTTCCCTAAGCAGTCAGGCTGCTGAAAGGACAGCTCGGACTCTGAAGGGGGGCGGGGGAGAGGGGCAGCACGCAGGGTTAAGCCTGAAGAAATGAACTTCCTGCAGCACTGGCTAAATACAGCATAACAGTTAAGCGGACAGATGCTCCAGTAACACAGACCAAGATTCCAATCCCAATTCTGCCATTTACCAGTTTTTTGGTTTTTTTTGGGGGGGGGGGGACCATTTACCAGTTTTATGGCGGAAACTGGTTTTTGAAATATGATTTCTTTCTGTTTCCATTTTTTGTTCTGCAAAGCTTTTATAATGTTGTTTAGAAGATCAAATTAAACAATGAAAGTAAAGCCCTTACACAACATCTGACAATCACCTTAATAAAGACAGCCACAAAATAGTAAGGTTAGCAGAGCTTAGAAGGGAAAAGAGTAACTATGACAGGTCTGTTGGTGTCAGGGTGTTACAGGCTTGGAAAGGGACAACAACTAGGATAAACCTTGTGTAAGACTGAAGAGACCGAAGGTGGCAGTGTGAATGTGCACTGTCCACTAAATGGATGGACAGGCACAGATATATAGGGATATACGTAATGGTGGCTGGTGTGCGTGTGTATATACATGCACCAATTCCCTCACTATTTTCACTGGAAGGCCCTGGGAGCAGAACACCCCAATAGCAACTGGCATACCTTGCACCTGGACCTTGACTCCTAAGCATCTTTCTTGGCTAAAAGGAAGCAGGGCTCCCTAAACAAACAGCTGAATCCGGGGCTGAGATACGAAAGAACGACATCAGCCGGTACCATCTTCCTATGCCAGAAACCAAGAAAAAGCTCCAAGAATTATAGAGACAGGCTAAAGGAAACAGAAGCAGCTTGAAGGGGCTCTCCTTGCACAAATCTGGGACACACAATGATAAATATTTTAACCCATTAAACAAAAAGAGAACACTCTTAAGTCCACACTTATACAAGTAAATTGAAGGTTTGATAAGGAAGGAGTATTTTCACAATTTTTTAATAATGAGTCACAAAATATTACTTAAGGAAAAAAGAATTTACAGTCGAGAACAGATACACACTACACCTTAATCAAGTAACCGAAATGAGTATCATTGTATCATCGGTAATGGGATGAGTCCAAATTGTACACCACCTGCAAAGATGAAATGACAACAACAGAGCACTGCTTCTGTGTTATTCATCACGCCAAAAATGTACACCCTACATCTCTGATCGGACAAACTGAAGCGGTGCGGGCGCACAGGCTCACCCAGACACAGACTCAGTCACGGGACTACAAGAAGGTTCCTCTCCCCTGACACTTTACTTCTAGGTTACTAAAGGCCTATTTCCTTTTTACCCAGTGTATCGTCTCCACCTTTCAACAAAAAATTACAAGGCATACTAAAAAGCAAAACAAACACCACAAAAATCGAAGCTTCTATCTCAGGAAAATAGAAAAAGAGCAGCAAATTTTTGCAAATTAAATTCAAAGCCAGCAGAGGGAAAGAAACAATAAAAACTGGAGCTTAAATCAATGGAACTGAAACAGGAAATCAATGAAAAAAAAAAAAAATCAAAGAAATGAAAAGCTGGCTCTCCAAAAACACCAATCAAACCATTAAGCATTTAGCCAATGTTACTAAAAGTAGAGAAAATGCAACTTTCAGAATAAAAGGGACATCACTACAGATTCCATCAACATTAAAAGGATACTGAAGGAATACTATGAGAACAACTTTATACAAATTTGATAACCTCTATGAAATGGACCAATTCCCTTGAAAGACAAAATCTGCCAAAATTCACACAATCTGAACAGGCCTGTATCTTTTAATGAAATTGAATCAATAACTTTACAAAACAGAAAGCACCAGACCCTGATGACTTCACTGGTGAATTCTAGCGAACATTCAAGGAAGATATACCAATTCTCTGTCACCTTTCTCAGACGACAGAAGCAGAGGTAATAATCCCTAACTCACTCTATGAGGCCAGCATTACCCCGATGTCAAAACCAGACCAAGACATTACACAAAAAGAAAACAACAGACCACTACCTCTTATTAACATACAAGCACAGATCCTCAACAAAATATTAGTCAACTGAATCCAACTATGTATAAAAAGAACTATATACCACAACCAAATGCAATTTTGTTCAGGTATGCAAGGCTAGTTCAACATTGGAAAATCTGTTACTATGATCCATCACATCACAACTGGCTAAAGAAAAACCACATGATGGCATCAAAAGATGCAGAAAAAGCATGTGACAAAATCCAAACCTCAGTAATGATAAAACACCCTAAGCAAACTACAAATAGAGAGTAACTTCCTCAACTTGATGAAGAACGTCCACAAAAAACCGACAGGAACAAGGCAAGGATATCCCCGTTCGTCAGTGTTCTTTAGTATCATACTGCAAGTCCTGGCTAATGAGGTAAGACAAACAAAGGAAACAAAGGCATGCGGAGTGGGAATAAAGACATAAAACTGTCTTTGTTGGCAGATGATGCCAAATATATTCCTAGCAGAATCATAACTATAAATACACAGAGAACAAACTGATGGTTGCCGGGGGAAGGGGGTGAGGGCAAACTGAATGAAGGAGAGTGGGAGGTAGAGGCTTCCAGTTACGGAACGAGTCAGTCACAGGGATGCAAGGTGCAGCGCAGGGAATACCGCGATGGTATTAAAATAGCCTTGTATGGAGACAGAGAGTATCTGTCTACGCTTGTGAGTCCAGCATAAAAAATATGAAGGTGCTGTTCATAGGTGAGGGAAGAGAGAACAGCGCACTCATCCTAGGAAGAAAATTTTCCTAAATGTCAATTTTTAAGAAAACAAACTTCTGGGGTGCCTGGGTGGCTCAGTCGTTAAGCGTCTGCCTTCGGCTCAGGTCATGATCCCAGGGCCCTGGGATCCAGCCCCGCATCGGGCTCCCTGCTCAAAGGGAAGCCTGCTTCTCCCTCTCCCACCCCCCCTGCTTGTGTTCCCTCTCTCACTGTGTCTCTCTGTCAAATAAATAAATAAAATCTTTAAAAACAAAACAAAAAAAACTTCTGCTTTCTTCTGTTATACACCAAATGAAAGAGTATCTTGTTCTATTTCTTGGTTTTGTAAACAAGAGCTTAGAGCAGCAAGTGTTTCATGTGTAACAATCTCACAATGTGTGTCTGATGCACTCGAGTAAAATCAGTTCACACTTCTGTGTGTTTCCTATCACACCGCTCACCATTCCTCAAGTCACAGTCCAGAGTTACAACTTTTCAGAGAATGTCCTTTGATACGATGCACAAACCTTTTCCATCTCGAGGGGGGGCTCCTTTGGCTTTAAAACTATCCACTGGGGCCTTTGTATCTGTTTCCAAAGCAATGCTTATCTGTATCTCAGCCTTGAACTTGGTGTATTTATTACTCAACAGCTGGTACCATTTTGGAGCCTGAAGAGTAAAACAAAACAAAACCACCTTAATAATTAATAGGAAATCAACAAGAGTGGGCAATGTCCTATAAGGTTCCAAATATATCTCCTGTAGTTCCTCAGTACTTTCTCCTCTTTTAAAATATTTTTCACGTTTTCCTCCAAAGAATTTAATCCTGCTTAGGAAGCTAACTGAACTTCCTCTTGAAAAAAACAAGTTTAGACTACCAATCTTCCTTTTCCCTACCCTTCATTTTTCACTTTTTCTGGCATACCCTTGCTGCCTGCCCCCATTTCTGCTTTGTTCTGCATGTATCAAACGAGGGTAAAGGAAAGCTAGTGTTAACAAAAAAAAAAAAAAAAAAAAAAGCACTAACAAAATACTAAAGCAGAGACCTGAGGTAGAGTTCTGGGTTATGATCCACACACCTGACTGAAATATAAAGACTTTGTCACAGCATCAAGCATCCTAAATGACCTCAACATCCTCACCACAGTAATTCTGAGAAATTCTACTACTCAAGCCAGCCTGTACTATGATGGCCCAGGGCCACGTGTCTCATTCCTGCAGGGGCACCACTGTAATTCATGGATAAAGCATTCCTACTCTGACCACTATTACCTAAAGCCACAGAAACCAGTACTTAAACAGATCAAAACCAAAAGCTGCCATTTTGTATCAAGTTACGTGTGATAAGTAAAATAGGAATAACTAGGCCACAGCCTTTAAAAAAATCCACACCCAAGGTTTTTTTTAAAAGCAAAAACTCAAGAGTCTCTTGCTGTGTTTTTTATCATAGATATTTTGTCATTTTAAGTATGAGCCTGAGAATGAGTTTCAGCGACTCAGAAAATTTATTGTCTATTTTTCCGTTACATAACTTAGAAAAACAAATCTGGGTTCTTCTGAGTTTATGTTCATTTACGGAGAATCAATTTATTTTGAACTTCATATATTCTACTCACCAATTCAAATATCTCTGCTAATAAACACGAGAGAATAAGCGAGACAACATCTGGCTTTCCTAAAACTCTTGATTCTGAAACATTTCTTAACTCAGAGAGAAAAAGCAACTATGATGACAAAGTGTCATATAGGACCAGGGGCGGGGGACGGAACGTCAAGAGCATTTACAGGCGTGACCCCCTCTCAGGTATCCTCCCCCTAAGAGAATTCACCTTCTCTGTAACTAAAGCCACTGCAGAAGTGTCTTGCTCAAGTTGTAGTAAAGCTAGTTAAGTGAAACATCAGGGGCGCAAACATGGTTGTGGGGCTAAGACTCCAGAAAGAAAACCTTTTTTAGAACCTGAGTGCAGAGAGCTGAGGCACACCCAAGGAGGCAGGAGAAACAGATCCTCTCTTAAAACATTTTAAAATTTCAGTTTCTTTTGAAGGATTCCAAATTCAGGCTAACTGGCTCATTTGTAAATATCATAGCTACCAGGAGCGAAAATGTTGGTAACAGATCCATTTTCTTCACAGAATCCTGATTTAGGATTCCAATCAAGAATAAAGGACTTCAAATGACAAGTGTGTGTGTGTTTACTTTCTTCTCTTAAGAGAGTGGTGACAAAAGAAAGTTATGAACAAAAACTGAAAGGAAGCATTTCCAAACCCAGTAACATAAAAACAAGGCTAGAAGAGATTGTAGAAACATGGAGAGACATTTTCGGTGACAGAACGCACTGACCTAGGAATCAAGACCCTGAATTCTTTTTCCTTGTGTGCGTGTGTGTCCGCGGGGGGCGGAGGCGGGTGCCTGCCGTTTCGGTCATCTGAGCACGTTGCCGTAAGCTCACTTGCTCCGACGACTACCAAGGAGCAGGGCGCAGAGAAAGCGATCGGAAGACTACTACCACAGTCAAGTTAAGAAAGGACCGTGAGAACGTAGAAGAGTAGCTGGATCAGGACGGGGTGGCTGGGGGCCCGAAACCACCTAGAAAAGGGGGGCTGTGGAGGCTGAAGAGGGAGGGGTGGAGAAGGACTCCTGGACTCCTAGCCGGCACGTCTGGAAGAGGAATGGGGACCATTCACCGAAGTGAGCAACAGTGCAGGGAGCTTACCGCTCATCGCTAAAACAAAGCTTGGCAGGTGAACATGCCAAGCTCCAGGTAACAGCAACGTGACCGTATGTTTGAGCTCAGAGAGAATTTTCTTTGAGAAAGACCGTTCCAGGTCAAAGAAGGGGCTGAAACATAAGAACTGCCACACTGACTCAAACCAACCGCCCCTCCCCCAACCTTTCAGGTCCAGTGTTCCACCTCCTTTCCAGCAATCTGGTATCTGCTACAAATCATCCACTAACAGAATCAGTACCAAAACTCAAAAGGCTAGTACCTGCTTTGTTTCTTGAGCAGTTCTTAAGTCTAGAACAATGTAACCTATAGTTTCCTTGGCTGAAGATACAGGATCCAAGGCAAAACACTGCAGTTTGATTGGAGTACGCTGCAACCTGTAAGGTAACAATTTACATTAGAGATAAAGTAGCTCCTGCTTAATATTGAACTGATGTTCTGTTAGCTTTGAAAAAGCTGTCCACTACTATCAAGACAATTATAATTTTGTTGGATAACCGAAAACTATTCTACGTTTTCTGAAAAATTCTTCAATTGACATCAACTATTAATTATGCCTATTTATCTTTATACCAAGTAATAGTCAAACCCCATCAAAAATCTTGGTCTCTCCCATCTGAGAAGCGATGCTCTAGGGCAGTGTTTTTCAAGCTTCTGTAATATACAGAACTCTTTTAAAGTAAAAAACTACCATGAATCCTCAAGATTGATTTCAAAATGCTTTCCTTATACTGTCACACACACATAAAACCACAAATACACAAGCTCTTTTTGTCACTAGCATAAGGAAATAAACTTAAGAATTAATTACCATACAAATCACAAGACTATTCCAAAAGTCACTGAAAACACAATTCTGATCTACTCTAAGAATTTATTACCCTTTCAAATCCCCAGACAAATCCATGGACTGATGTAGCCATAGAAAAAAACAATTTTCTCCTGACATTCATTTTTTAACTTTGTAATTTTATTTGCTCTAGTCCTAAGTCACAGCAATGAATGAAGTGATTTTGTGTTTCCCAGAAAAAAAATATTTTCAATGCTTTTTAAAATACAAGTATCTGTGATCTTGCCTATTTCCAGTCATCTGAGTTCATGAAATAAGACATTCTAACTTTAAGCCTGTTTTATGTATTGACACCAAGTGTTTTTATGTCCAAAATCAAGTATAAAATTAATTAGAAAGAGTCTCTTATGTAATTACTACATACATGTCTCTATATATCCTTGGCAAGCCACGTTAAGTATATAATAAATGAAGTAATAGAAATTACAATGAATTCCAACACTTAATATTGGGTAAGCATCATTACAGCCCTTCTAGAATATCTATTCCCTTCTAGACTATCTAGTCTCTCAGACATCACGGGGGGGGGGGGCGGGGGAAGCTAGGTGCAGTGGTTAGAAACTGAGGCTCTAGAGCTCAAGTGGCTGGGCTCGACCACTATCCAGCTGACTGTCTTATGACAAGTTACTTCCCTTCTTAGGCCTCAGTTTTCTCACCTATACCTGGGGGGACATTCTAACACCCACTTCACAGGATTGTTCTGATGCTCAAGTGAATTATTACTGCCAAGTACTTTGAAAATCTCCTGACACATTACAAAACCGCTCAACAAATATTATCATTGTTACTCTAATCTAGTAAGACAAAAATTTATTCGTCTCTAGGAACCTAAAAAATAGAGCAGAAGGAACTGAAAATAACAATCACCTGTGCTGATGGAGAGCTTTCCTGTCGATCTCCCAGGCTAACTCGGTCGCAAATTCTGGCTGGTCGGTATGGTCCACAGGGTCGGTAGCCAACTGTTCTCCATCAAACTTTGCTTCTACTACAAGCATATGCTTTGGACGCTTGGGAAAATGGCGACCTGGAATAAAAGACTATACAGGTTAATCAGAAGTATATAAAAATCAAACATGATCTTTTAGCACGTGGTTTAAAAAAAAAAAGCTAGGTGCAGTGGTTAGAAACTGAGGCTCTAGAGCTCAAGTGGCTGGGCTCGACCACCATCCAGCTGACTGTCTTATGACAAGTTACTTCCCTTCTTAGGCCTCAGTTTTCTCACCTCTATCTGGGGGGACATTCTAACACCCACTTCACAGGATTGTTCTGCATCTGGTTGACTAATATATTCCACTACCTACCTACTAACACGTACTCACACGTACAAGTTGTAGATTAGTGCTTCTCAAAGGTTAACGTGCAAGAATCATCTGGGGATCCTGTTAAAATGTAGATTCTAGTTCACTAGGTCTAGGGTGGACCTAAGAGGCTGCATTTCCCATGTGATGTCAATGCTGTCCTTGAGTCTCCCTTTGAGCAGTAATGATCTCAGTGACATTTAGAATTAAACAATTAAAAGCGTGATTCCACCAATTTTAGATCTTACACTAGTGGCTCTTAATATAGAACAGTGAAGTCATCCAGAGAGTCGGGAAATAATCAAATTAGCAAAAACCCATCAACCTGCATCTTAATTTTCCTGTTAACACAGTCAAGAATACTCAGCAAATTAGCCAGAGAAAAGCACACATTTGTATTCATTCATTCATTCAAATCTCAAGGACAATTTTTTAAGTTATCAAATTTGGTACTGCCTGACTCCATTCCTTCACTGGTTACTGAAGGTACAGCGGAGTCAGGTATTAATCATGTCAAACAATGGGATGCAAAAAGAGTACAACAGAGTACTTGCCCTGAAGGAACTGACAAACTGAAGACACAGGGTACAGGAAGCTCAAGAACTAAAGAACAAGAATCTTATCCACCTGTTTACAGGTCAGGTGAGGGGCATTTTGGTGAGACGAGCGTTCACCCCTGTTAAATAAATACATCCCAGCTGCTACTCACTCTGGCACAAGCCACTTCATAAGGAAGGGCTCAGAGACATCTTGATTGCCATCCTGTGACTTTCAACCTGAAGTGCTCATTTGAAACTCCCCACTTAGTAGTCCTACCACATAGCGCACGGCTCTCCCAATTAGCAATCACAAAGGCCTCTCTCTGGACATCATTTTGAGCTGCTCTGAAAGATCATTGGCTTCCCCAAATGAATCTCATCGATGTCAAAAAAAAAAACCCTTTATATTCAGTCCCACTACCCTAAACTATAAGCTCCAATTGGCCTGAGAAGAGAGAATATGTACTGGAACGAACAGGTGCCTGCCTCATTCCAAAGACAATACTTAGAAAAAAGAAACCTTGTCTTTTTCATCCTTAGAATCCAGCACATAGCCCCAATTTTGTTCATGGTAGAAATCTCCTCATTTTCTTTTGAATAAAGGGCATTTCTAGAGGTGCAGGCAAGAAACTGCAAGCAGCTCAATATAACTAAAGAGCTGGTAACATAGGAACATAGGGCAGGAGAGGAGACCAAGCTGAAAAGGTAGGCAAGCAGTCTGTCATAAAGGGCCATGAATCCTGTTCTAAAAAGTATAGACCATTATCCTTTAGGACACTGAAGGATTTTAAGACAATTAGATTTGCATTTCAAAAGATTACCCTAGAGAGTAATGTGAGCAGTAGATACTCTCTGAAAAGGGAAAAAATAAACCATTCACCAAACAGACTACTGAAAAGATAACAAGAGATTAGAGGGCCTCAAAGCAGCGTGCTCAAAGTGGAAAAATTTTCATTCAGAAGTTTACATGAAGCCCCTAGTATTCTGTTAAAAAATAAAACCAACAATACTCTGTGACCACTTGGAAGGTTGGGATGGAGAAGGAACCCAGGAAGGTAAGGACTCTCAGGTTCTGGGCTTAAGGCAACAACATGGTTGTGATGAATGGAAACACAAACAAAAGGAGACGGTTTGCAGGGAGGTCCACACTCCAGGAGTAGTCATGTTTGTGGCAACACCTAACTGACATCCCTGGATCCAGATTCCCTTCCCTGCACACCTCTACGAAACTTGCAAATGATGCTCTCCTGCTTAGGAATACTGGCTGCCTCCCTCTTTTTTAGAACATTAAACTTGGCTTTCAAACTCCTCCAAGGTCTATTCAGTCCGGCTACACAAGCTTATTTTACCAGATCATTCAATGGTCACCGTCCTTGACCCTGGGCATCTTGCAGGCCTCTTCACCATTCTACCTACGCTCACTCCCTCAATGGCCTGGGTTATCTAACTGCCAGCAAGGACTTTCTTCCATCCTTACTTACCACTCACAGCCCTTAAGCCATCATCCCCACTTCACCCCCAAAACCTGTGTTTACGGCCCACATCCAGCATTTTTAATATTAGAAAGCATTCCGACATAGCGTGTCCTGCAGATGAATCTGATCTCCCCGAGAAGACAAGAAGCCTAATAACACGCATGAAGGGAGAGTGCCTTGTATTTCGGTTTGCCGCTATGCTACAGGGAGCAAGTACCAAGCCCAAAAGCTTTTATTAACCAAATTACAAGGGGATTTCAATCCTCTGTCTTTCACCAATCAGTAAAATAACAGTTAAAAATACCCCAACATTTTACAGCTTCTGGTCAGTTTTCTGTTCCAAAACTCATTACAACTCATTCCCTCTTATCCCCCAAATAGTGCCAGGCCTCCACAAAATACCTCCACTAGGTGGTTAAAAAAAAAAAAAAGCCAGCCAGCCATTCCTCTGGCCCACTCAAGATGACTGTTGTCACCTTACTCATAACCTACCCTCACTCTACCTACCAATTCCTACACCCCCACTTTCTGCCACCTACTCTCCAACCCCAGTGAATTTAAGAAATTGCAGACTATGCCTTGCTTTTCCATACCTTAAGTGTTCTTTGCTCTTCCCTTTGCATGGAAAGCCCTTCCTTCCTTTTTTCCCTTGACACAGACCTCATCATCCCTTAGGACCCAAATCAATGACCCCTCTGCTGGGAAATCGTCCCCAGGGCTTGTCTTTCCTTCCTCCACACCCTGATGAATTATACACATTCTTCAGGCTATACCCTGAGCTTTCAGGACTAGGGCTATTGTCTCCTTCCATTCCCAGCACAGTGCCTGACACTCAAAGAGCCTCCAATAAACAAATGTCACTTATTCAACCAACGGAACCTCAAGGCACGTACAAGAGACCGTCTTGACAACTCTAGTTCTTTAAGTCCCCCATCAAAGCTTGTAAAGGGAATGGCCTCCGCAATACTTCAGACTGCAGGAAATCTGTATCCGACTCTAAGCAAAGTTCGCACAAATGGGATCACCGGGAGGCCGCTGAACAGAACGTGCTTTGCAGGCACACTCGGCTCACATATAAAAGTCATCGACATGCAGCTTCTGATGGAAATCGTTTCTCCTACATTCCCTGGGGCTCCGGCTCCGCACGCTAAATACCACCTATCCCTAATACTCTCACGCTCCCTTGAGAGGTTTTTAAATCAATCGCCTAACAGACCTTACTAACTACAACTGTGAACAAGTCCGGGGGCAGCGCAAAAGCAAAGATGACAAAGGTCCTTAAGGCTAACCAGGACTGGGTCGCACGCCACTCTGGTACAACTCGGCAAGCAGCAGTTGCAAAAAGCAAGCTCCGGGCCGCTCACCTTCTAGGATGGACACGACGATGAGCAGTTGGTCGGACTTGGAGACCATGGTCGCGGTGGGCGGCCCGCAGGCGGGGTCTGCTTGGGGGAAGAGGGACCCGGGTGAGATGCGGCAGTCCCGCGACCACCAGCAGGGCTCCCGGCGGGGCTCCCACCGCCCGCCCACGGCTCCCGACGCCGGGACCCCGCTGCGCGGCCCGGGCCTGCGGCCGCCTGCACCGCACCAAACTCCCTGGCCCCGGGCCGCCAGCCCAGCCCTAGCCCTGCCCCGACTCAAGGCAAAGGCAAAGACCGCGCGGCCGTTGGACCGCCCGGCCCGTCCGCAGGGAGAGGCGAGCCCGCCGCCGGAGGACCTTTTGCCGCCTGCGTTGCCGCTTTTCAAACGCCCGGGCAGCTGCCGCGGCAGCCGCCGCGCCCCGCTTCCGCCTAGCAACCAGGCCCGCAGGCCCAGTGCCGGGGAAAAGCTGGAGGACAAAGGGTGATAGAGACGAAGGCAGTCGCGGATAGAACGCCCCTCCGCCCGCTTCGCCTCCTGCCCTTTTAGGCTATGTTCCAGAGCCCTAGGGAGAAGACGAGTCCATTGCCTCACAGCGCCCCCTGCTAGCCGGACGGGGGAAGGCGGGCGCGTTGGCGGGGCCCGACTGCGCAGGCGCACTACTGCCGCTAACGCTTCCTGCAGGGCCCGTAGGAGGAGTGTGAATGTGGTGTATTCTCTGCTTCTCCCCCCCTTAGACACAACCTGGGAAATACAGCGATGGAGATGGAGGATACGCACACGCACACGCACACACACACACACACACACAGTTGGCTCCGTTCAGATCCCCAGCGTCACGACTGCTTCAAAACTAAATCACAGAGTGATTTAATAACGACTTAAGTCTGAACCGAAAAATCCCTAAGACTCGCGCCGCCCCGCAATCGTTCACGTTTTGAAAACAAGTAGCGTCAATACGGTAATTACTGTAACTGCTGGCGGTGACGTAAACTCTCCGAGAATTTCCTGTACTTTAGAAATTACCCTGAAACAAAAACATTGTCAGGTGGGCAGGGAAATTAAAAGTATAGGTTCTACGGCCCCCTGACAACAGGGTAACTAATTAGCACAATCAAAACCCAAATTAAACAAGACATTCCCCCACCCCCCAAACCTTCAGGCTTTGTTTTAGGGAAGATTAGAAATCCTTTGGAGGTTAGGTAGCTTGAAACTGGACCTCGGGCGGGGTAGAGGGGGTGAGTAAGGAGGAAAACACAATCCCCACCCCACCCCCATTTGTGCCCAAAAGGAAAGAAGGATGTGCACGTTGGGTTACACGACTTCTAAGACCCTTTCCGTCCCCTTCGGAGCTGCCTGAGATGAGCATTATGCAATATAAAGCCAAAGTAATGATCTACTTTGGGTTCCTCGTTGAACAATGCATTCTTTTGTGTAAGATGTCAAACAGACTCAAAAGTAGATAGAATAATACCGTGAACCAGCAAGTACCCAAAACACGGCTTCAACAATTATCGATTAAAGACCAATCTTCCTCTGCTCCGTTAATTTGGAGGAAGTCCCTAACATCGTATCAACTCATCTCTTTCAATATGTACCTCTAAAACATAGAATATCTCGATATATTACTTAACCTCAATTGCAGTATTTTACCTAAAAAATTAAAAATAATTCCTTAAAACCTTTAACTGTACACTGTTCAAATTTCCCCGATTGTCTAATCATTATTTTTCCGTTGTTTCGTGCAAATCGGGATCCAAAGAGGTTCCAAAACCACAGTGTGTTTGGTTGAACTGCCTTTTGTGTCTTTTCATGTAGAAGTACTCCTTTTTTTTTTTCCCTTGAAACTCTTCATGAAAGAAATTGGTCATGTATCCTGTGGAGTTGACCACAGTCTAAATTTTGTTGATTCAAGACCAATGTCATTATTTAACATATCACCTGTTGAGCAGTCTAATGAAGATGTCCAGATTGACAATACTTGCGATGATCAGCAAACAGATCAACAACAGCAAGCCAAATACAAGCTTCTTACCGTGTAAAACACTATTTAGTTTAAACCCTAGACAAAAGGAGGCTAAAGCAATGAGACCAAGGATCTCCAAAGCAAAAAAACCCCTGGAAGTCAGAGTTTGGGACCTAATTCTACCATTTACGTTTTAGGTGACCATCGACAAATCACTTTACCTCTCTGAGCCTCAATTTCAGCTATACAATAGTAGTATACATAATTTCTTAGTTCAGGACTTCAACGTAGTAAATGCCATTTAGTTATTATCTTTTTATATGAACAGTAACAGACCTTAAGTTACTAGCTGTACAAGAATTGAGAAATTGCCATCAAGACGCCTCATTGTTTTGTTTTACGACATTTCAGGCTGAAAAGCTAGATTGTAAACCATCACTGAATGTCAGAAAATAATTTCAAATCAGAGACGAAAAATCTGACAAACCATTAAAATTAACTAAGAAACTTTTTCACATAGTAAAATTTTCATACAGTTCCTTTTATCTGGACTCCCCTGAACAACACGGTTACTCTCAAAATCATATCACAGCTTCTGAAGTCATCAACTTAGTTGGTTCTTTTTTTTACATACTGTACAAAGTTAATGTCATAAAATTTCCCATATATCCCACCTAGACATTGAATTATAAGTCCACCAGCATCTATATCCTCTTTATATGTTATTCTATAACCTACTTTTTTCATGTGTGATATTAAATAGTAGTAACTTCAGTTCTAGCATAAATCATCATATTTTAGCCTAAATTTACTGATGTAAATGCTAATAAGATATACAAATTTTGTCTAATAGACAAGGTGAGATTCATTATAAACATGCAGATTCAAATTGTACACCTAAAAGCTTATCCTATCAGGGTACTTTCTGTTTCTATGGATTTCTACCAAAAACAAAAAAAAAACAAAAAACCCAGAACAAAAAAAGGATTTTGACTCATGTTAAGTCTTTCTTTTTCTGAAGCTATGTTACATTTTGAAAAACACTTTAGTTATAGTAAGTCTCCAGTTTCTTATCTTTCCAGCAACATTTATGACCCAAGACAGGAAGGATCAGCAGCTATGTTCTCCTGCCTCTGTCCCTTCCCTCTTCTTTCCCCTTCTCACTAAACACACACACACACACACACACACACACACATACACACACATGCACTTAGTACAATTTCAGATAAGCTATCAGGAGTAACAACATGAGCACATTTACTGCATAGCTGCGATGTCTAAGAGCATGGTCCAGACCCTGACCTTCCAGACCCTGACCTCTCTCCTTCTGGCAGAGGGAGGGAGAGTGAAGTCCTACTCACTCAGCGTCAACATGACTGGACTTTCAACCCGGCATCTGATATCATTAAACCTGGCAATGAATTTGGGTGCCCTTACCCGCCCGAAGAAGGGTCACTAATGTCCATGGCAAGAGAGGCAGGCTAGCCCAGTAGTGAAGAGCCATACCGACCTGTGTTCCAAGTTCCACTTTGTGACCTGGCCCCATTGCTTTTCTCTGAACCTCAGTTTTCCCATCTGTGAAACAGGGTTAATAGGGGTTTTGAAGACTCATTGGCATTACTTCAGTGAGAAGCTCGTGCCATGATGAAATCTCTGAATGCGGGAGCCATTTTGATTGTTGATGTGGACAGATGTATCATTTTGTCATTTGTTTCTTTTTTGGGTCTGCAAAGAAAACCAGCTTTTTCATATTCCCTCACCTTGGCCTATATTTATGTTCTAAGGGTGATATCCTCCCAAAACAGTGTCTCTCCCTGGCTCTTGGGAAAGGCCACAGCTGAGCTCTCCAAAATCACACACTCGTTCAGGTCAGGTGGGTGCTATTAACTAGCGACGCATGCGGGGCCGCACCTGCGCAGAAGCAGAGCACGGTGCCCAAAGGAGAGCCCTTCTCTGCCCGGCTGCTTATGGCCAGCTAGGAAAAGCCAGGCTTTTCTAAATTTCCATAAGAAGCTAGATTTATAGGTTTTAATATGAACTCCTTTGATTTTCATTATTTATTTTTTTGAGAGAGAGAAAGAGAGCAAAAGGAAGGGTAGAGGGAGTTGGCTCAGTACGCAGCCCAACACAGGCCTTAGTCTCACGACCCTGAGATCATGACCTGAGCCTAAATCAAGGGTCAGACACTTAACTGACGGAGCCACCCAGGTGCCTCACCCATTTGATTTTTAAATGCTGGTTACAGGGGCACCTGGGTGGCTCCTTTGGTGAAGCAGCTGCCTTTGGTTCAGGTCAGGATCCCAGGGTCCTTTGACTTCCTGCTCAGCGGGGAGTCTGTCTGCTTCTCCCTCTGCCCCTTCCCATTGCTTGTCCTCTTGCTCTTGCTCTCTCTCTCACATCAATCAATCAATCAATAAAATCTTTAAAAAAAAATAAATGCTGGTTATTAATTTCAGCTAAAAAGCAAACAACAACAGCCACAACACTGCAGGAGCCAACCAAAGCTTCCAACCCCACTGGATTTACCTCTGGCCTGAATTCAGAAAGGTGGTTCTAATGGGTATTCCTGAAGGGCAGAGAAAGGACAGGAGTCCAGAAAGGAGAAGAGATCACCTCCAAGTGGGAAGGAGAGGGATGAAGGACAGTGTGCTGGGGTCCCCCGTTTCCACTCCTTGGCAGAACCTTCAGGAAGGGTAGAAGCGGGGACTAGCTCTGTGGGATCCCCAGGGAAGGGAGACCTAGGCCCCCATTTATCACCCTTGGCATAAGTTTTTATGCCCCTAATTTGACACAGAATCAGCAAACTCACTAGAAGTCCAGAGACCCCGGAGGCTTGGATGATGGACAACTTACGAGTGACCAGGAAGGGCAAAACCCTGCAAGCCCTCCCCAAATATTTGCTTCACGTAAGAACCCAAACACCTTTGCACAACATTTTGTATGTGCGGTGGGGAGCCCCAGGGATGACTGAGACTGAATTTCTGCCTGACCGGAGAAGCTTGCTGTCGAATGTAAGAGTCTGAAGAAAAGCAACATTTCTTGCTCTCCCTTCTTTGTGCAGTAAGCTTCCTGGGGTTCCTTTAGGCGGGGACAGGCTTTGAGGCACCAAATC